TATACTGTTCGGAGAACGGGATTAACAGTAGTAACTTCCACTGATACACTTCTCTTTGGCTTAAATAGGTGGCTATTCTATAGAGAGAAGAATTCAGCAGTGCTACTTCCAAACTGAAGTCAGACAAGTACACTCTGTTCTGCCATTTCAGGATTGTACCACTGCATTCTTTTGTGTAGATAGGTCAGGACACTATAATGCTCATGAAAAAGAAGTTGGATCTTTTGTATCTGCCCCGTTAAATCACTAGGATCCCACAGCACCTCAAGAGGAAAAAAAGAGGTTGTAGTCTCCATCTCGAAGAGTATATTACTAAAAAACAGTCATTTTGCCCCATCAAGATATCAGAACCTCTGACAACTTTGGCCATTTTGGAATATTGCACTTATTCGCAACCTTGAGAGCTGTGCTGCCGTAATTTAAGTTGCTTCACTGATCTCAAAAGTATCTGAGACCTCTAATGAGAGTGCGATATGGGTCAGTTCCTCTTCGATACTATCTGGGGATTCCCTGAAGAAAAGTGACAAGTAGATAGGATGGCAACAAAAGGAAGGAGCTCATCAGCAGAGCTGCCACTTGTCAGCATATTAAAGAAAGATCCAAGCCACCCCTTAATCTAACTGAACCTCCAGAGGCACATTAGAAGTTCAACAGCTGTTCTCTTCCAAAGTAGTCTTTGAAGATCTGATGCTGCAGCAGCTTTTATCCAAAATTTAGTTCATTTCTTTTAAATGTAAAATGGAATTTCAGAACTGAAAATCACCAAGGATATTGGATATAGAAAACATTTAAATAACAGCCATGATAAAAGAGATAAAGCTGCAGTTCTGTGCACATTTACCTGGAAGTGAGTCCCACTGGAATAGACATGTGCCAGATTGCACCTTTAACATTAGTGGTGTTTTTAAAGTGTCAAGCCAATGAATGCAAATCTTTCCCTGTCCTGCTCTTTCTATCACATATGCAGACATGAACTATACATGGAAAAGGTGAGGATATTGCCACAGCTTTTCACTGTAAAGGAAATCCATGACGAACAATATGGCATGTTCTGCCAACTATCAATTATAAGATTAAGAGAACGTCAAGTGAGTCAGGAACTAACACACCACACCTAGCCAGAGGTGTAGCAAAGAACATGGCAGAGGTGTACCAACAGGTGTAGCAGAGAGAGTTTCAAATGACTGAGTTCAAAAGGCTGGAGTTGTATTTTCTGGCAGCAAAGTGTTGGAGGTGGATACTGTAATGTCTTGGGAAGAACATCAGGGTATGAGGTGATGGAAAGGTGATCAACTCTCACCTGGCAGCAGCCATTCCACCTGGCTGCAGCAGAGGGAAAGATAGAAAAAAGAGCTATGGCATCAGCACTGCACAAGTCAAATTCCATTTTGCTCCCTCCTTCTCTCAACTGTTTCCATAAGCAAGGGCATTGACATTGCTCGTTAAGAATTAGCATCTGGAGGGCAAACTGAGTAAACACACAGGTAATCAGAAAACACTTTTCCATTTTCCTCCTCTTGTATTCAGATCCAGTTGGACTCTCCTGCAAGTTTTTAGTTACTCCATTTCCATAAATTTGAGAATTCACAGTACAGCAACTGCAGGCACTCTTGGAGGATCCTTCTTATCCAGATCCATTCAAGTCTAGGTTTCAGTGCAGTTATCCACCCTGACAGATGCCTTTCACCAGCAGAGAAATGGGGGCTGGGGAGATGTGACCCTGTTAATCCTGCTTGTTCTCTCATTTACTTTTGATACCTTCAGCCTTGGCGTCTCTTGGAGTGATCCCATAGGATAAGTGCTAGAGACATGGTATGACTGTGGTTCTGTTCTTTCCTCTGGAGTCAATTTTAGAAAATATTATTCAGTGGCCATTCCTTCACCCCATGGAAATTGTGCTCTGGGACTTTGTAAGGTTGATGTGAGCCGTCCCGAGGCTATGTAGCAATGGGGACGGCATATAGAAACTTTAAATAAATAAATAAATTAGGCACCATCTTATCCTCACTGTTGTTCAATGTCAATATGAAGCTGCTGGGTCCACATCATTAGAAATTTAGAGCCAAGTGCCATCAGTATGCCAGTAACTCTACCTCCCTGTGACATCTGAAATAGGTGAGGCAGTGCAAGTCCTGGATCAGTGCCTAGATTCATTGATGGACTGAATGAGAGCCAATAAACTGAAACTGAATCCCAGCAAAATGGAAGCCTTCCAAATGAGCAGTTCCCAGGTCTCAGAGGCAGGTTCATTGTGTGTTCTGGATGAGGGAACATTTCCTGTCAAAAATCAGGTTCATAGACTGGGCTCTTGATCTAGATTCTAGATCTGTCACTGTTGCTGGAGGCCTAAGTGACCATGGCAGCTCAGAGTGCCTATTACCGGCTTCATATGGTTTGGTTTGCCAGGTATGACCCTCCTGGACAGGGAGAGATTGGACATAGTGCTAGCAGCCTCAGGACTGGATTACTGCAGTGTGCTCAAAGCTGTCCCTTTTCAGCATGAAATTCCTTTGCTGAAAGAATGGCACTGCCTGCCTGTTTACTGCTGGGCCAGGTTTAAGGTTATGGAACTAGCGTATAAAGCCCTAAAAACATGCCACTAGGATACTTGAGAGAGCACATTCTCCCTTATGTACCTGCTCGGTCAGAAAAGTCAAATAAAAACTGTACTTTAAGATATGGAGCAATGAAGGAGTTTTCAAAGCAGGAAGTGCTCTGAAAGGCCTTAGATAAGAATCAGAGCAGGCATTTAGTCAAGTCAAGCCTCCATACTTTGTGAGTCACACTCCTGAAGAGCAGTTGCAGTGCCTGGTGGAAGGAAGCAGATTCCTTTTCTCCACTTCCTTGCTCCCAGCTAAATTATGTGCTGAGAACGGACTGCACCCAGGATTTGGGACTTGTTAACATAAGTGCTGCTGGTTTGCATTATCCCAGAAGTTAGGAAGGCTCCATGAAGAGACCAAGAAGAACAATTCTGGAATGTGGCTATCTTTGTGTTTATTGGAAGAACATCACTTCAGAGCAGCATGCAATAATTTCTAGGAAAAAGTCATCAAGTTCAGTTCTTTCCAAAGGTGCAAAGAGGAAAAGGAACCCTTCATTGGTTTTTGGACAGGACAGAAGATTTGCCATGAGAGCCATTGCTTAATAAATAGCATGAAGGAAGACATTCCACTCTGGTAAAATTAGAATTCAACTTTAAGGGATTAATCCTTTGCACTGAGAGAAAATGTAGACAGAAAAATGCCCACAAGTCTAGCAGTTTCCAGCCAGCCAAATTGACCAAGGAATGCTGGGAGTTGTAGGGCTTATTTCAATATAAACAGGCATAAGATTCCCCCATAATTCGCTTTAAAGACAAAGCAAAGAAAAAATGCAATAATCCTTCAAGTAACTTGGGCCCATAACAACTCAGAGGTCTGTTGTTGTTTTTTTAATAGCATAATCCTATACATGTCTACCTGGTTAACTACGTTCAACAGGGCAGCCTAAGCATTTAAAGGCAGTGCTTTGAACTTAATTCAGAATAGAGTATGCAACTCAAATAGAGGCTAATGCAAAACTGGTGTCGTATGCGCTAACTACCTGTTTATGCCCTTCTGGCTGCATCAGCTGGAGTTTCTGAGCTACCTTCAAAGGCCTATAAAAAGAGTGTTACAGGAGTCTAGTGAGGAGATGCATGGCATGTGTCATCTCTGAAGGAGGAGCAGCTTTGAGCTCTGAACATGGCTGCAGCTAGCCAACCAGGCAAAGCTAGTGAAAGGCACTTTGGTCTGTTGCTTCTACCTGCATGCCTATGGACAGTCCCGGATCTACAGGTTCCCTAAACCGCAAATCCATCTCTTCAGGAGGTGTACAGCCATGGTCAGAACTAACTGTAAAACTTTCTCCAGACTGCTGGTCTTCCATCCAACATCACCTCTAACTTTGCTTGGCTTGATTGCACGATTTTTGTCCAAATCCAAGCCAGAACAGCTTCTAGATGATTGTTAAGACTTTTATGTGCCTCTGGGAGCTCACCAAAGGGAAATGAAAGGTACATCTGTGTGTCATGCACATACTGACGAACAGCAGATGTAACAGAACTGGTGAGACTCAACCTTTCAGCAATAGCCCATGTTCCTTCTAATATTTGTTCTGTCCTCTTCTTAGCAGTGAACTGTAGACTGCAATGGAGCAAGAGTCAGTAGTTGTTACCCAAAGAGCCAGTCACAGTGGAGCCATTAACTAGAGGTCATGTCCACTCTAAAGGACTTCTCTTCAGGGATGACTGGAAGATTTGTGTGAAATAATATGGCTCCAGCTAGCTGAAAATTTTAAGTGAGGCAGTTTAGCAGAATGATCCAATGCTAACTTGCCATACACAACTTGAAAAAGGAGGATTGAAAAGAAAATGTGTACTGCACATAGGGAGAAAGGGCAGGACAGGTGTGTAACAGAGTATTTCAACCCCAAAATTCTACTCACAAAATCATCCCTAAAAAATCACCACAAATGAAATTTCAGCATGGTGTCATGCTGTGCAATCCTATGGCCACCAGATGGCATCCAGGCAACCACATAATTCTTCAGATTCGCAGCTACAAACTTAGAAAATCAACTCGGACATCATAGCTGGGAAACTGCACTCAGATTTTCCCTCCCCTGCTTACAGTGAGCATGGGGAAAAAACCCCATGCAAGCTGCTTCACCTTGCTCCATAAGAACAATCTTGAAGAAGGCCTTTGGTAGTATCCCAAGGGGCAGGGTAGGGAGAAGACCACAGCTGCTAAGATATAACCTTTTCACAATCTTGAACCAAATGGTTCTAGAAAAGGTCTCCCCACACCCACACTGTATCACTCATATTTTGGGCTCCACCACAAAACTGCAATGAAAGAAGCTGGGTTAAGAAACAGATCTGTTGCCGCCTAAATGCCACTTCCTATTTGCAATGTATCCACCCCTTGAGTATTTAAAAAGCACAGACACTTGTGACAAAATGTTTGCATATCTGCTGCCAGGATGGAAGAAACAGGTCTTGCAAGAAGCTCCAAGATGCTGTACTTCTTCCTGCCTAGCCTCTTCTTTTTTCTTCTCCTCCAATCTGCTTCAGGACGGGAGCTGAAATTTGTACTTGCAGTAAGTGAAGGAAAGTGGATGGCTTTCCCTCAATGGCTTTGTTGGGCTGATGGGTTCTTCAGACCAAAGCTCTTTATATATAGCTCTCCAAAAGTTTCAGATATAACTCAATCTTAAACATGAAGAACTTACCACAAGTTTCCTTCTTCCTGTAAGATTATAGCACTTCTTTAATTTATTCCGTCTTAATAGTGAACTGTGCCACTTTATAACCTGCATTGTAAAACTGGAAAGTAGATATCATTATAATGTGGGTGCTCATTTTTCTTGTTTTCAAGTTATAACTGTGCTTGCTTAGGCAGTAATCTTTACTCCTTTAATGTAGAACATGTAATATAGTTGGCTTATGGCATGGGAATATGGGGCACGCCATATACTGGAGGGCTACATCCTACATTGTCTCTCACTTTTGTCTGTCCTGGTTAGGGCTGATGGATGTTACATGCCAACAATATGATTTGCATCTGTAATGACACCTGCTGGAGCACCAGTTTTAAATTAGTAGCTTATGTATAAGATTTGTACTTTAAATGACTACCAATTTCATGGATTTCCAAATTGGCTGTCTCAGGCATTTGTTTCACTATCTCTGATGGCTAATTCATGATTTGAATAGCTGAAAGAAACCCTGGGAAAGCACAGACTGAATTTCCAGCACAGTGCTAATGATTGTTAACTAGAGCAAGTGGTGTCTGTTGGCAATTAGAACAGCAATTATGTGATGTTTCACTTAGAATTTCATTGGCTGTGTTCAGACAGCACAATAATTCTTCACTGTGGGTTCTCATGTTGTCTGAACCCAGTCATTGAATTCAGTGAGACTGAGACTGAAGTAAGCATGTACAGAATTGCAGCCTGAATCCTTTCTACTTATTTGATGGACAGGTGGATTGATTGCTGGTCAGACAGAAATGCATATATTGCATTTCTAGTGCCCATGCACCATTCAGAGTGGCTCACAGCAATGTAAAACTACAGTACAATATTTTATTTATTTATTTATTTATATCCTGCCTTTTTCCTACAAAGGGCTCAAGGCAGCTTACATCATTCTCCTCCTCCATCTTATCCCCACAACAACAACCCTGTGAGGTAGATTGGGCTGAGAGTCTGTGACTGGCCCAAAGTCACCCAGTTGGCTCCATGGCTGAGCGGGGACTAGAACCCAGATCGTCTGAGTCCCAATCCCATGTTCTTAACCACTACACCACACTGGCTCATATAAAACCATAGAGTCAATCAGAAGTACAGTAAGAATACTGCCCTGCTGTTTATCAGAAATAATAAAGAACAGGACGTTTGATTCATATTAAAACATCCCATTAAGGTTTGTCATTTTCCAGTAGTAAATGGTGCGACAGTGACTGAGCAGCTGATGCAGAGCCACCATTTCAACCACCGTTGATGACTTGTAGTGATCTCAAAAGCTGCTTTTGCAGCTACAAATTGGAACTAAGTTTAAAACCTCTATTACCCACTGGTGAAAAATGATCAGCAGCTCAGTAAACCTGGCTGCAGGTTTTATTGCCTTCATTGTAATAACTCTCAGCTCACTATTAAGGCATAAAATGAAAAAGGTGTTTCTCATAGGGAAACTTTTTCTGCAATTGTGGCTGCAGCACCAACTTTGCTAATACAGGAAAGGCAACATTGTTGAGTAGGCAGAAGACAGGGCGTACAAGTTAAAGGTGTTAGCTGTACTGACAGCCAAAATCCAGTGCATTCTTGCTTAAGCATATTCAAGTCAGCACTGCATTGGGAAATTTACTAATATTAAAAAGATAGCCGACAACTTAGCAAGTGTATCTTTTGACAGGACTACAGGTGTAGTCTGAAAGCACATGATACAGTAAGGAGATAAGATGCTGCTGCAGTGAAATTCTGATATCCTTCCCAGCAAATTCATTACCAACCCTGCTGGATCAGACCCAAATGGGATTGCATTATAAACAATTTGTATACAGGCATGGAATATGACCTCTGAACCTGCTCTTTAAGGTTGGGCAAGTTCCTAAGGGAACAGCCTGCTTGCAAATGGCTTCTGTCAGGTAGGAGGATATAGGCTGCTGATTCCAGATGGGAAAACAATGAAACTGTGTTGCTCAAGACTCTTGAGCAGGATACTGCCATCCTTTGCTTGCCAGCTCTTTCCCTTCTTTCCACTGACTTAATGTATGAATGATGTTTTAAGCAAATGGTGAGGTTAAATCTCTGCATAGTAATTGTTAAATATTTTGCTCAAGGGCAGGCATTTTAAAAACTGCACTGAAGGGTTTGTAATACACAGAAGAAGAACAACATGGAATAACACAGACTTCCCACCTGTTTACTAGCTTTATCGACATGGTGACCGAAGTCCTGTTGAAAATTATCCCACCAGCCTACACCGCGAAAGTGAATGGCCACAAGGATTCGGGCAGCTGACTAAGGTTTGTTGGTTTCTCACAGAAATAGAAGTATTATCCAAATAACACTAATATAGACATTATCAGTAAGTAATATCAAAATATTGGTAACTAACAATGGGGTATTCCTTTTTCTCTTGCTCCTGGTTATAACAAAGCCCATGGTACATTTCAGATCTTCGATGAAGCTGTCACATAGTCACTTACTTTTAAATTGCCTGAACACCCAAGACACCAAGAATTCTGCTTTAAAATCTCCCAAATTGTGCAATGTGACTCAATGAACTGTTTCATGGGATGGAATGGAATCAAGACAGAGCAAGGGACTTGTTGCAATATGAAGTACTCTATCTTTAGAAAACCTCTCCAAACATTAGCTTTCCCCCTTCCCATCACACACCACAGTTCATCCCAATCAGCAGCGTCTCCTGATTCTCTGTGTTGTTAGAGCACTAAAGGGAATGCCATAGGAAAGAGGCAGGAAAATCCCTTTCTATCTGTGAAATGGATCCAGCATAAGTCTGGATACAATCACTTATGACAGCTCTATGGAAGATTTCAAGGACTAAAAATAAAAAGCGGGAAGAAGCTAACATTTACCCAAGGGATATGTAGCATCATTGCCTTAAAATTAATTATCCCAATTCTTATCATTTTAAGCTCCTCCAAGTTACATTTGATTAGTTCAGTATACAACATTTGCCAAATTCCAACAATTTTGTCCTTTGGAATGCTGAATTGGTGCAAAATTTTGTTCCAGTTCTGTCAGACTGTTGTCCCAAATTAGTGGAGAAGATTTGGAACTTTTAGGATGTCATCCAGCTATCCTGTTCATGGGTAAGATGAAAAATACCACCTTGAAAATAAAATATCTTTGGTTTAAAAATAAACCTAAAATCTGAATAGGCCACTATGCCACTGGCCAAATGAATTATAAAAAGAAATATTAATCCTACATGCTGTTTCTATTCAAAGTGGAAACCAGGGATTACTTACCAGAGACTGCTGAAAAATATCCAGCATGGGAAGGCTATCAAACCTTTGGATGATTTTATGCAATTCTGGGTAGAAGAGGGTAGTCCTGAGAGAGGGGAAATATAGAAGAAATAAACAGAAGGATTTGAATAATCAGTTACCATGTAGCCAAGGTCCCAATGAAGGGGTGCACTAGATGTTACTCTTATATAGATTTGTTTCCCTTTTTCCTCTTTTTTGTATTTTTTGGTTGTTATCAGTGTATTTTTATTTGTATCACTATATTTCAGTATTGCATTTTAGATTAGCGAATAAAATTTTAAAAAACTTTAAACATATCCAACACAGTGGTCCTAGCTTGATGGAAACCTGATCATCATTGGGGTCTGACCATGTTTATCTAATTTCTTTGCTGTTGTACCATGGGGCACTTCAAGGACCCAAGGACCCTAGATTTCTCTTTCGAGCCTAAGCCATTTTTGTCATCCCACAGATTGGGATTCAGCAGCAGTATGAACTTGGACAGTACATCAAGAAGAGATACTCAAATTTTCTATGTCCTGCATATAGACGAGAAGAGGTGAGTAATGGAACTTAAGAGAAAGAGATTTACCCAACTATGGATAGAGAGAAGGATCATAACATCCAGTTCTGAGAATTCCCATACCAGAGGATGCTTTAACATGATTCAACAACCATGCCAGTGGTCTTAATATGCCACATAAAATAGTTGTTGGCACTTATGAGTTTAGCATGAGGCAAATGTGGCATGCCAGGAACTGAGGAAACTTCCAACAAGGAGCTATGGATATCTGGGACACATTCTGGCAAAGGGGTTTGGTGATGGACAAAGCACAATCCCTGAGGATTTTTCTTTCACAACTTTGGTAGACACCTCTGTAGACAATTCCTTGAAGACTTCTCTCCTTTTCTAATGAAGATGTTTTTAAATCCAGATCCAGGGTCATGGCATACTCACCTTTTATTCCTTTTAGATTTTAGTCCAGAGCTCAGAAATTGACCGAACCATTATGAGTGCCCAAGCAAATCTTGCTGGCCTGTTCCCCCCGACTGGTGATCAAGTCTGGAATCCTAAACTCCTTTGGCAACCTATCCCAGTACATGTCGTACCAAGGACATACAATCCGGTGAGTAGTGGAAATCTGAACAATTCAGTCTGTCATTCAGAAATACAATATTTTGACAGACAAAAATGTGTTTGTTTCCACTTAAAAGAAAGAAAATGCTTCTTTAATCAGAGGTTTGTAAAATCTCCAGAGACATTCCACAGTAAGCAGGAGCAAACATTCAACTCTACCCCTTCATGTATAGCCTGTTCACATCTGTTCTCAACAACATCGATCTTTCTAGAAATCCTAGAAAGATCACTGGAAACTGCAACGTACCAGAGAGAATGAGAGAGAGTGGGGGAAGGAGTGGGGGAGGGAGGGAAAACTATGTCCCTGCTAAATAATAACAGAAAGAGTATATAGGATTGCATTTTTTCTTTGTATATGGAAAGACAAGCTGATTTATCTGCCTGAAGCAGGAATATGCTTTGAGTGCTGTCTCAGAGCTGCAGGAACTTTTCCTCCCTCTACAGAGTGGGGGGGGGGGGAGGAATGCCTGCAGCTCCCCCCTGCACCTTATATCTCCATGCACCATTCAGAATAAGTAGCCCTTCCTACTAATGCCATAACTTTTCACTTGCCTATCAGCCAAGTAGTTCATGTCTTTGTCCAGCTTACTGTGCAACAGGACAGCACTTCAGGGGGAAGAGTGAAAGCCTCTCCTTGCATTGCAGCTGTGAAAGGCAGGGAAAGGATTTGGCCGCTTGTGAGCCAATGCCTCTTCTCCCAAGAACGTGGACTCTGTTTGCTACATGGCTCTGTCATGTCTTTGGGGGCTTAGGAGACCTCCTGAAGGCTTCCTTTAGAGACACCGTGGGGGCAGCTTCCTTCCTTGCAAGCCTCAACATATCTTGTTGGATACTATTTCCAGCTCTATCCTGATGGATGGGTAATTTCCTGGCTTGATGAACCAACCAGTCATCATCCTAACTGCATTGGGAAAAACAGGGCAGCCGGAAATAACTAGTTCCCCTTCTGTTTCCAGTTCATATCAGGCTGTTGTCATTTCAGTTAGGTATGAAATACTGCAATACTGTTGCATTGCTTTGGCTTGTGCAAAACTGCACTGTCAGGAAGAAGACTGGGCTCTTTGCCAGCACTTGCACTGAAAAAGGATTCTTTTGGGTACGGGTACCCTGCTGTTTTTTCCACTTTCTTCCTTCTTTCCTTTACAGTTGAAGGTCCTCCTATGATGCAGCTCCCATGACACAGCCCAAGCATGGGTTAAAAAAAAAAAAAAACTGGAGGGACCCATGGAGGAAGGAAATTAATGCCCTCCTTCTCTACCGTATTCTCTCTCATGCTATGCACCATCTTTCCCTTTCTCTCTCTTCACATCTATATTAATCAATTGATTGAACAATCGATTGATAGATTCTCACTTTCTCCACCAGCAAACTTTTGTTATGGAGGGAAACTTTAAGTTTTAGATTCAAACTGGAGGTTCAGGGGGAAATCAATGCAGGGAGCCAAGCAGATGGTGGGGACTCCAGCCCTACATTTTTTTGTTTTTGTTTTGAAAGCTAACAAGCCACCTTAACAGATAATGATTTTAAGGATCTTTTTTTTCTGAAAATGAAACAATCCTTTGTTTATGTGATGAGGTAAAGGAGAAGAATAATACACCATGCTGATAAACATGCTATTTTATGGAAGCGTCTAAATTCAAAAACAAAACAAAGGGTTGGGTTGGGGTTTAATGCAGTTGTCTACAGATGTGTGATCAGAGTCTCCCAGGCTACTCATTTCTTGGCTGGGATACAGTTGTAGGTCTCAGTCTCTGGCTGTGAAGCTGCTATCCTGTATCCCATTATCTTCTCCAGAAGGTCCTTTTCATCCATTCTCTCCCTAGTCTCCCTTTCTTCTCTTAAAGCTTCATCTGTCTCCTTCAGAATCTTCTCACTAACACTCCCTCAGAATTTCCTCCGAAAATCTTCCCAGCATCTTGCCAGGGAAAACCCTTCAGGACCTAATGGCCAGACGGCTGTGCTCCAGGCACATAAAATGTTTCCGGTTTTTTAAGTCTAATTATATAACTGTTTATGTTTATTTATTAATGTTGTAAGCCCTGAGGCTTTTTGCGAATGGGGCAGCATAGAAATGGTTTAAATAAATAAATAAAATAAAAGTTGGCAGTGCTGAGCTATAGGGACCTATTTGAGATGAACTAGGAGCTAGGCAAACAGAGGGATGAAGCCATAGGTGATGGTGATCATGATGATAGTTTCTTAAGGTAGTCCTCAGCTCTTCTGGTCCATGGACTCAAGGGTGAGTCGGGGTGGGCAGGCTGAAGTTCTTCTGGTACATCACCACATGGGACAACTACCCAAAGAACTGCAGTTGCAAGGTCCAGCTGCAGACCTCTTGATGGTGACCTAGATCAAATGGCTCCTTCCCACATTGTTTTTGCTTCTCATTATAGGCTGCTGAGAATGGGATGCGAAATACCAAAATAATGCAGGCCACTCATAAAAAATGAAATTGCGATCCTAGTGAGCACAGGTTTATTAGTAAGAAGGAGCCTAGAAAGCCACTGTGTCCAACTCCCTGCTTAGTGCAGGAGTCCAAGTTAAAACATCCCTAACAGATGTCTGTTCAGCTGCATCTTTAATTTCTCCTGGGTGGGAGGGCCCACAACCTCACAAAAGTAGGTTGGTTCCATTGTTGTATTGCTTTGACTGTCAGGATTTTTTCCCTGTTATTCATCCAGAATCTGCTTTATATAACTGAGCTCATTATTCCGTGCCCAATACTCTGGGTTGATCAAGAAGAACTCCTGCCTTTTTCTGTGTAAAAACTTTTCAAGGACTTGAAAAGTGCTATCCTGTCAAGGCTATCAGTCAAGACTAATCATGGCTAATTCTCCCAGTCTTTCTTTATAGGGCTTTGTTTTCAATCTCCTGATCATCTTTGTTTGCACTGAGAATTCTTGCCCTTGAGAACTGCACTGAAACTTCTTTTTCTTAAGATGTCTTCTATTCAAAGATGAGTTCCATGCTGGTTGTACAGAATGGGCCCACTTCTCCCAAAATGCAGCATTCCAACATTGTTACTTCAGATTCTGAACTGGACAAAGAGGCAGAGTGAGCTGAAATACCAAGGCCAGAAGGGACCAAGATAAGCCAAGTGGCCGATGAAGGACCGGACCACCTCCAGTTGTGGAAAAGATACTACTGAACATGCAGAGCCAGACAGGGAGGGGTGAACTTAATCAGTTTCATCATCTGACAGATATCTGAGATCAAATGAGCAAACCAATTCAGTAGTGCCTATTGTGTCTGCTGTTTGGCCCACAAGCAGGAGGAACCTCCCTGAGGGTGAAACTAACTGGTTGGCTGGAAAGGGAGGAGAAGGATTCACTTATGAATGTCTACTCAGAAGTCCATGACTCTGGCAAGCTCTGTCTCATTCAGGTTCACAGTTTCCCACTGTTATGGTGATTCTGTCCCTTTGTATTTTTTGTGCACAGTTTTCAAATGCACCCATTGACTAAAGCATGTTAGTGTACATTTTAGAAAGGTTTGCATTTCTTCAATTAAACACAAGTTGTTGAAAACTTATTTTCTGGCAAAAATGTATTGCAAGGGGGATACAGAACAGGTTTCTGGATTTGAATTTCATTGGGGTCCACATTCAGCTAAGGAGCTAAGAACTAGCTATAGAACTGAAGCTTTATTTCCCAACCTTCATCCTCCACAAGGTGACATTGATCAGATTCCAAAGAGTCCTCCCATCCTAGCATTGACCAGACCAATGCCTACTTCAGACCAGCAGGATCACTGAATCATGTCACTCCAAGCCAATGCACCGGTCCCTATAGATTACTGGTATAAAGCAAATACTACATCACAGTGAATTATCTCAACCTTAACTGGGAATAATTGCTGTATAAAACCCACAGCAGTGAGTTGTGAAGTCACAGGGCAGCCTGTTACAATCCATTTTATTATTTTTGTTTCAGAAACTGCGTTTTCCATATTTTGACTGTCCACGCTACAAGGAACTTTTGGAAGAAACAATGTCATCAAGAGAATACCAGGCCAAAATTGAATCATACAAGGTAACAAAGAATGAGCAAGGGTGGTGGCGAGAGAGAAAAACAACTTACATTTCCTGAAATGACTGCTTCTATGTTTAGATATATTATGTTGAAATAGTTTCAAAACTAATATTGTAACACAGGATAGTCTGCCAGGACTGGCCCTCTTTGTTCTTTTTATATTTCTGCTTCCAGAGATGGAGGAAGGTATTTATGGGACTTTCTGCCTCAAGTTCATAGGCAGATCCATATGTGGGCAGGGTTGGGAGAAATATGGCAGAGATCACAGAACAGTTTCTTCTTGGCAAAAGGTGCACTAAACTGCTTACTTTGGAAGAGTACATGCATCAAGGACATGGGACATAAGATTGCACTCTATGACATTTGGAACATTTCTGTTTATAGAGACCTATGTTCATCAAATGATAAACATGGGATGGATATCTCAGCTTAAAAAGAGATATGCCCAAGATACATATCCTCTTGAGCTGTAACAAATCCATTTGCCTAAACACACCATCCTTGGGGTACCCTTTTCTCACCTCCCTTCTCAGCACATTGTAATAAAGCAAGAAGTTCTCAGTGAGCCATATTTCCCTGTTATGGCCCAACCTGGAAATATGGTGAGCAGATTTGGAACAAGCCAGGATCTTAAACCATGCTTTGAAGTTGTTTTAAAACGGAGAATATTCTGCTTTTCCACCAAAATTGGCACTCAAGACAAGTTATACTCGCTTATATACTCCCAACCCCTTTTCCCTGTCCAGCTAAATTAGATGAGAACTTAGAGGCTCAGGGGATTTTTAATTAAAATTAGACGGATTATGAAAAGACATAAATCAAAGCAACATTCTTTTTAAGATGTGGGAGATCTAAACTGAAATACTCTCCCTTCCCACCCTTTCAGAAAGGCTTCTGACTTTATTCTTAGGGTGGCTTCCTGCTGGGTGAGGCCTGGATAGGAGGAACATCTTGTTTTACTGGTCATTTCCTGGCAGGATCAGGAACTCTCCCTCAATCTCTTCCCCACCCAGCTCTGAAATGTCTCCCTCCTGTTCCAAGGTGGCCTAGTTCTCATGCTTTGCCTGAGCATCTTCGCTGGGTGACCATGAAATGACAAATCCCTCTGCCCCGTCTCCTCCTTAGAATTGGGCAAATCCATCTGAAGTGATTATAGCATGCAAGAATTGGGGTCCCTCCTTATATCACTAATAAAGCTTGATAAGAACAGCAGTAAGACAGTACATTAAAACACAGCAAGAACAGAATGAAAACAGCATCCAGTTCAACAGGCCCGCAGTTTTTGCCTTCTGGTGAACATAAAGGCTTCTGACACAATGAGAAACTATGGTTAACTGAAGACTTCCTTGGTGCACTGCAGCATGCCAAGAAACAAGGACAATAGAAGCTGCCTACAGTAAGTACATGGACACAAGGGATAATTTATATCTCTGTTTATCAACCCAAGATATGGTTGTCAAGTGATCAGACCAAAAAGTTAAATTAAATACATGATTAGGCTGCTTTAATTCAAAAACTTTAATGGGATCAGAGCAGTCTCCCTGTAGGCCTATCTGCAGCCTATGAAAACCTAGTGTCAGGTTATTACATTCCCTTGACCTATCCATACCTGGTAGGGTGTGGGATCACAACCCATCTTTTGGTGCCTTGACTTGCCCTTGAAGATTTTTGTTTTTATTTTCTTTCAGGAATTTATTGAGACAATAGCTTCTTATTCAGGATATGACGCTTCCTCTCTCAGGAAGACAGACAATTTCAAAATCTGGCATGTACAGGATACTTTATTGTGTGAGGTAATTTTCTTTGACTATCAGACCTTTAATGTTGTAAAAGTTTATTTTTGTTGACCCACCTGCTCGAACAAAGGTTTAAGGGCAGCTAAAATGTTAGAGGAGGTAGTTTTCTCCATCAAGCAAAAAGGATAAAGAAAAAAGTAAGATGGTGATGATGATGATGATGATGAAGATATATAAGGTAATGAGTTTAATTTCTTAGAGAAAAACTGGTAAAGAACATCTTTTGGCATCTTTGGCTCATATATGATAGGGTTAAGAACAAGGCAGGGTTTGCCAGTCACCAGCCTGTTACAAACTAACACCAGACTATGATTTAGCATTAGGAGAAAAGTTTTGGCTCACACACCACTACATCCCCTCTTGTGCCATAATAGACTGCTTAGGGTTTTGGCAAATCCTAACTTGATACTCTGGTTTGCAGGAAAGCACAAACCTGTTTGTATAAAATGGCAAAACATGGCTTAATATTCAGCCACATTGTAGGGTAAATAATCACAACAGCTGAGAAGAGGGAAAAACAGGAAGGAAAGGACAAAATGCTGCTTTGTAGGGCTCCTTCCCGTAAATAAACATGCCTCCACATGACATGCCAATAAACCCTGTATGAAGCAGGTCATCTGAATGAGAGACAAGTGGCTCATATGGAGGAACTAGACCAGGAGAAGAAGTTATATAAGACCAGCTGGAACTTGACTACTCCTGGTGGGCTTGGAAGCATCTGTAGCCACTCTGGTAGCATTACAATGAAATTCCCTCTGCCTTCAAGTTTCTAGGCCTCACTGTCAGAAGCACAAGCTTAAGACCTCCAGAGCCTTGCTATCTGTATTCTAAGAATGGGAAATTTATCAGCAGTGTGACTTGTCACCACATTTGTCTATTTGTGACATTTTTTTTCACACTGGCTCAAGGTAGAATCTGTGCATGAATGTTCTCCTCGGGGGGTGGGGGTGGGGGGTGGCTGCTGGGATTCTGTCAGAGCCAAAAAGCAAATCCAAAGGATTCTAAGGGACTTCCTGAGGTTGGGTGGCCCTTACACATTGCCCTAAAATAGAACATGTTTCACCAAAAAAGAGGACACTGGTTTGCACAAAACATGCAAATACATGTATATATTGAAATCACAAGTGTGGTAGAACGGTACCAGTTGACCTGTGTAGCTACTGTCCAGGTGCTAACTGTGGATTCGAGGCTCAGCTCTTCTATATGATGTTTTCCTGGTTTGTTTTATTAAAAATATAAAGAATGCTAAGGCTTGAAGTTGGTCTTGGACAGGGCAGCCCTTCAAAACAGAGGACAGCCCTTCAAATAGAGGGCTGTCCTCTCTCAAAGGGGACAGGTGCCCATCCTGTGTAGGGCAGAGGTAAAGCTATACATAGGCCATAGGTAATCTGAGGGAAGCAAGAAGGGAGGCAACCAAAACAAGCAGGAAATGGGTCAGATGGAGGTCCAGAAAGTAAACTAGGTTGTCCAGATCTGCTATCAAGATAACAATGGTTCAAGACAAACCTATCACTGCATTTGCTAGATGCACAGGCAGACTGCCTATTTTCAGAGTTCAGAATGGGCTGAACCAGCAGGTTAACAGAGGTAGACATACAGACATATGCCTTGAATAGTTTTGGAACCTACCAACTATCCCCTCACTCCCATAACCAACTGTGGCATAAGAAAGCAGAATTGAAAAGGTCTCAGGATAATAAAGATCTGATTCTTTTCTTTTTATGTGAGCCGTCCCGAGGCTATAAGCCAGGGGTCTCAAACTCACGGCCTGTGGGCCAGTTGCCGGGACGGGTGGGGCCCTGTGGCCTTCAAAGCACCAGCGGCGCCTGGGCCGGCCGTGGGATGAGCGGCCCACCACCGCGGTGGTGGAATACTTGATGCAGCCCAGCCTCACCCAGACTCTACTTCCAGCGGCCCCCAGGTAAGTTGAGTTTGAGACCCCTGCTATAAGCGATGGGACGGCATACAAAAATTCTAAATAAATAAATAAATAAATCACTTGAATTGAATTGAATTGAATTTCCTTTGCAGTCCATTCACAATTATAGCCTCCCTGAGTGGGCTACTGAAGAAGTTATGGGCAAGCTGAATGAGCTAACAGTGTTGTCTTTATCATCACTATTTGGCATTTATAAAAGAGAAGAGAAGGCACGACTGCAAGGAGGTAATTAAGAAGTTTTCACTCAGACATTAGCTTCTTCTGAATGTACCCTCCAGAACTGTGGGACTTCATCACCCATCAGCCCAGCCACCATAGTCAATGTCCAGGAATGATGGGAGTTGCAATCTAGAACCTTTAGAGGACACTTCACTGAAGAAGTCTATATTATGTTTACTATTTATTTATTATATTTATTTCCCACCTTTCCCCCACTGTGGAACTCAAGGTGGCTGCATGTGGTTTCCGAGTGGTCTCTCCTCCAAGCACAGGCTGGCCCCAGACCTACTTAGCTTCAACATGATGGATGCTTTATATGCCTTCAAACCATACTCTGTTGATTGGCATGTCTCTTTGTACAACATACTCTAGCTGAAATAATTCCAGAAAACATGAGGCTGGATCTTCTAACTGGTTTAATTAATGCATTAATTAACAAAAGCCCTCACTGATTAATCAGTGCGGGCCAATTTTAATCAGTGCAGCAGAATTTTAATGAGCAAGACTGTGAGTTAAGAGAACACAGCTTTCTATTTTGGGGCTACTGTTTGGTTCTGCCATTTTGGTGTAGTAGATATCAGGCTTATAGCACATCCCCAGTTTTCAAGGTCAAAGGATGAAGATACAGTATAGAAAATCCCAGGTTGCCAACAAAATCCACAGTATTGTGATGTTGAACAGCCTGAGAATCAGTGATTGGCACAAACAAGTGGAACTGGAACCTTGGTCTCCCTGGCCCCAGTGCAATACTGCAACCACTACACCACATTGACTCTTGTTTCAAATAGGATTAAGATTACAAATGAAGTATCACATAGTGTTTTTTTTAATACTCTGTGTGGTGTGTGTGTGTGTGTGTATTGAGTGATGCTTGAGTTCAGTGATGGAAGGACCAGTGATTTTCAAGGTCTCCTTAATTCTTTTAAAATCACTTTGAAGCTCATTCCAGCTTACTCACGTTCTAGTTTTCAACCTGTGTTTTGGATCATTCAAAACTGTACATTTTGAATGGAAAAAGTGCACACCTCTGTATATATACCCTTTCCCACATTAACTAAAGCATGAAAATGTGTATATAAAATGTGAGGTTTAAAGTTTACATTTTAAATATGGGTTTCTTAAATGTGAACATGAATTTGGGAATTTACAAACATGTCTTGAAAAACCCCCAGCGCTGTTCACATGCGGACCTGAAAATGGGACATGTTTGCATGATTTGCAAAAGAAATTAAATCCTCATACATCCCTGATTGAGTGATCTATATGTCCCCCCACTATAAGGAAAGACATAGCCACCATTCTTGAGGGTGAAGGGTAGCATAGGTAACAGTCAGTCTGGCACAAATGACAGAGTAATGTGTAAATCACACTGATTGCAATTACATATGCCATAGAATTAGTCAGAGTCCCTACTCCAAGAGGGTGTGGATTGAGCATCTCCTTAATTTTCCCCTTACGCAATAGGACTTAAAAATGCTGAATGCTGGTGGAATGGATTCCATCACTGGAAATAGGATTATAGAACATTATTGCAATTCATTATTATCCTGAATTGATTTTCTTCCTCATATCTGTGCTATCCTGTGTGAAAAACTCAGCACTGATGTCTTACTGCTTAAGCTTTAACAGCACTTATGATGCAGTCCTATACATGTATACTCAGAAGTAAGGCTCATTGAGCTCAATCAGGCTTGCTCTCAGGTAAATGTGTAGAGGATCACAGCCTTAGCCATCCTGTAACATTCTTGTTTAGCGCTATTAACAGACTTTTCTACCTTTCTTAAGGTCTCCTTCTAAAAACTATTCTGGAAAATATGTCAAAGGCTGCTACACTTCAAGAGAAGAGAAAAATGCTAATCTATTCTGCAGTGAGTATGAGTTTTCTTGAAAGCTTTGACTGAAGACATCTGTGTAGCTGGCCTGCTCAAGCTGGGTAGGCTTTAAGCTGCTTAACTCTGTTCAGGATCTCAGCCTTCATCCAAGTGATTCTTAAGTTTAAAACAAAGAGATGATACCCACTCTCTAGCCTTGATGAGAATGGACAATATCTAACAGTCATTCTGCAAACTCCACTAAAACATTCTGCTGTGCAAGCACGTTCCCACTATGTTTGCACAATCAGTTGCAGAGGAATAATTCAGAACCACTCATACAACTGCACCTGTGTAAATGTGCCAAGTCCAGCACTTAGAACATTATTTGTACTAATGGATGACACAATGGATCCTGCCCAGCATCTACAGCCAAATGCATGTATCTGGACATGGCCAAAGAACGAAGATGAACAGAAAATTGATCTTTTTTCCAATAGTATATGTGGATTGCCATAACTGACATTTATTCTATGACAGTGTGTTGCCTGGGCAATTAACACATACTTTTTGCACATATGGTTGCCAAAGTAAAAGCTGGGTAATACGCATGTGCTTTCAAAGGTGCTTCCACATTAGTTTTAGCTGGCATGACAGGTTTTCCATCAGATCTTATAACTAAATTCTTTATTGTGTTAAAATAACTCTGCTAGTCTTGTGATATAGAACTAAAGTACTGCAGAAATCATTAACAAAAGACACCAGCAAATTTAGAATATTAACTATTAGGAAGATGCATTTAAATGCTCAGAAGTTAATTCCAAACTGATTCTCCCTCCTCCCTTCCCAACCAAAAAGAGTAGACTCTACCCAGGGATGTATGAGGAATCTGTAGAAAAGCATACCTGCTTTTTCCCTACTGAGTGTGGGAACAAAGCAGGTAACAATCAGGAAAGACACACAAAAATGAATAGCATGCTTGGCTGGACAGGGACCATACACCATAAAATCATTCCTTCTGCAGCCAAGATTCTGACTAAGGGGGCTTGCAATTGAGGCTTTTGTAATATATTTATAATAATTCTTTCCTGCAGTGCAAGACAGTGAAGATGCTTTATGTATTCTCAGATTTGCTTAAGAAATTTTCTGCAATGAAAAGGGCTAAAACTACCTACCTACCCACCCACTTTTAGGAGATTTCCCTTCACCAATAGATTTTACTTGCCACTGCTTTTTTTGTTTTTGCAGCATGACACTACACTTGGTGCCCTGCAGATGGCGCTCAATGTTTACAATGAAAGACTGTTTCCCTATGCAGCTTGCCAGTTTTTTGAACTGTATCAAGAAAAAAATGGGCAAGTATTTTATTGTGAGATCAACCATCAATATTCCCTTCACACCCAGTGCCAATGTCCATTCATCTATATTACACCATCCATATTTTCAAAGTAAAAGTATGTTTTGCAATATAGTTATATTTTTCTGGTCTGCACTTCATAATATTGCAGTACAGCAAATCTTGTAAGAACTATGCCATTTCAAGTCACCAGCTATTTGTCAGTACAAATTCACTGGATATAAGTTGGATGTTGACCAAGAGCTGGTTTATTTTTCATTCTGTGAAACTGCCTTTTGCAAGAGAAGGAATATCATTTAAAATACAATATCTTCTTTTTCAACTCCCCCTCTCCAACAGGAACACATGGAGTTTCAGTGGGGAAATTTTAACTCCATCTCCAAAAATCCCAATTGGGCCAAGGTCCCAATCCAAATCATGGCCACCTGCATTTATACTGGCATAAGGAAACTTATCATAGATAGAATATTTAGTTTAGTCCTGGACTCTAGAAGGATAGTGCCAGCAAGCCCTGTACATTTCACTCTTGCATCTCCAGAAAAAATCACTTCAAAATATATAATCTAACTTTTCCCCTCTTTCTCTCCCTTCTTTGCCTGGATTCTGCAAATCAGAGAGCACACCATTGAAATGCATTTTCGGAATGACACCATGAGAGATCCTTTTCTTCTCACCTTGCCAGGCTGCTCCTCTGCATGCCCACTATCAACATTTGAGAAACTGGTTTCTCCCATCCTAGTGGAAGACTGGTCCAAAGAATGTAAACAGACAAAAAGAGAAGGTAATGCAATATCCCTAGCTAGCCATACAAGATGTCAAAATGGGGGTGGCAAAAAGATGCAATAAGAGTGATATAGTGGTACCTCGGCTCACGAACCCCTTGGTTCACAACCAAATCGGGTCGTGAACAAAAATTTCATGAAAATTTTGACGTGGGTCGCAAACTCTGCATTGGGTGGTGACCAAGATCACAGCCATCTCCCCACCCCCCGAGTGGGAAATGGCCATGATCACAGTTGCGTTCATGCAGGAAAGACGGGCGCAATCTCGGCCATCTCCCCCCCCCCCAACCAGCACAATTGCGGCCATCTCCCCACCCCACCCCCGAGTAGGGAGATGGCCGCAATCATGCTGGTGGGGGGGAGATGGCCCCGTTCACGCCCGTCTTTCCATCCCCCAGCGTGCTCCATTCGCACCTGTCTCCCCCCATGCGCGCCGGGATGACGAGTGCATGCAGGGATGACAGGCGCGATCTTGGTTGTGCTAGGAGGGCGCGGAGATGCGGTGGGAAGGGGGAGATGGCCGCAATCTTTTTTGTTCTTTGTCACTTTGCTTCACATTTTTCTGAAAAATGTGAAGCAAAAAATGTGAAGCAACCATTTATTAAAAACAATGGTTACAGAATGGATTAACCTTATTTACATTGAACCTTATGGGGAAATTTAACTTGGCTCACGACCAATTTGGGTCACAACCAGAGTCCTGGAACGGATTAAGTTCATGAGCCAAGGTACCACTGTATATAAAGCAACACCTAGAGCTCAGATAAGAAAACAGATGAGAGATTCTACAAAACCCTATTCACATCATAAATTAAGGTTTTCCTTTTAGAATGAGTTCTATCACACAAGTCACTGCTGCTGATGTTAAGTGAAAAATTTTTGCTTTAGGGTTTTTTTAAACTAGCTGTACATTTTGTTAGTCAGGCTATAGTTTACCAACTCTGGTGTAGTCCCAATGCCTTTAATATATCTTTCTGTATTAAATACCTGAGGGTGCACTGCCTAGGCCAGCCTTCTCCCCTTTTTTACCTTGGAAGAACCCTTGAAATGTCCATATCTCAGGGAGCCCATGCATAGAAACTATTACAAATTATTACTATAAACTCCTCAGTCCAACATGTAATTTTATTTATACTATTATTGTTGTTATTTATTTTATTAATCTGCCATACCAACCTGCCACCCTTCCCAAAAGAACTGCTTCAGGGATTAAGAGGGGAAAGGCCTCTAGCCCAGCCTTATCTTCCTGTGGGAAGGGTCCACCAGCCAGGTACAAAGGCAGCAGCCTCTCTTCCTTTGTTGCAGTGCTGCACCCCAGAGATAGACTGTCTGTGCCCATGCAAACCACCATATCCTTCTTGCAATGCTCTACCCCTGGGGCGCATTCCTCACCCATTCCTCAGTGCCCAGCACATGTCTGTAAATTGTAGGGGTGTTTGAGATGTAAGAAGATGTGAAATAAGGGTCACTGTTGGTCACTTAATGCTGAGCACACCGAAACATTGCCATGCTGCTCCCTGTGAGCCTCAGGTGGATACACTTCCTGCCCTGGCCCCACCTTCCCTTATATTATAAACACACACATGTGAATTATCTTTCATGAAACTGCAGGGCCCCAGAGATAGAGAAAGGCCGGTCTAGAGAATGCATATTGCTCAATATTACATTAGGGTCCACCTATGTAAGATCAAAAATGAACTTGATGAGCCTGTTATATTTTCAGTATAACCAATCTTCCTTCTTTCTCACAGCAAAATATTCTCAAACTACCATGACCCCAGAACCCAGCCATGACCCAGATCTGAAGCCACAGGCTGATGCGCCAGTGGTGCCAAGTCTGGAAGCCGTTGGTGCAACAGAGACCCTTAAGCCTGAATTATCCAAGATGCCCCAAACCAAGACCCCTGAGTCAAAGACCCCTCATCCCAAATCAGTGACTGTGGTTCCTGAGCCAGCATACCTAGCTCCAAGGGCCTCACAACCCACCAGGCCTTTGCGCCAACGCAGAGATCACATCTGGCCCAAGTTCTCGGAGAGACAAAGGAGTGCCAAGGTGCATATCTGAGGCCTGCCCACCTAAGTCTTTCCACTTATGTTGAAGTGGGCGGAGGCTGAAGGGCTGGTTTGGGTGTTAAGGAACAAAGGGCTTCAGTCCGGTCCCTAAGCTGTTGGAGCCAATTACTCCCTATTAACTTGCCTTGTGTGTGGCATTGTATTGAAGCTAACTGAAATTCAATATGATCTCTGACCAGGTATCTCTAAAATGAAGATAGGATGAATAATAAAGCACAAGCACTCTGTGACAAGTTAACACATGTTGACAGTTAACCTTGCTTTAAAAATAAAAGTCCAATGCAGTAAGACAGAGAGGCTTTGGCTTCTGTGCAGCTGATGAACTCCAGAAATGTGAATGACATTCCCCATTTGCCAGAAAGTCACCATCATGGACACATGTGGCTCTGGGTGGTGGGAAGAGAAGGAGCCGGCAGGTCTGCTTCCTGCACAGCAGCAGTAGCTCTTCCTATGGCCTGATGCCACAGGGCCAAGTGGAAAGCTGATTGGTTCAGTGGGGTGGGGGGTAGCACCAGAGGAAACGAAATGGAGTGGGAATGGCTGCAGACTGTCCCTGCTCTGATTGGCCTATGGCCCAGGGAAGTGAGGCCTTGTGGGATGGGACAGGGTGGGCCTGTTGCCATCATGGCTTTCACTTCAGAGTCCTACCATGAAGAATAGTGCCCAAGGGGGTCCAGAAGAGTTCAGGCTTGTCCATCATTTGTAGTACCCTAAAGGGGTCTTGGTGACGCCATACTATTGGAGCCTTTCCTGGTATTGTGTTATTTGATGACAGGTAGAGGCAGTGCTTTTTTTTGTTTAAAAAAAAAGTGCCAGAACTCACATCTTGTTAATCTTTTATTTAGGGTTTATTTAGGGTAATCTTTTATTAGCAGGACTGGTGGTTGAGAAGTAATTAGTAATTTTTTTTCATTTTTAAATTTGGGGTCACACTTTTACACTAAAAATTAAAAAAAGATTTTCAATTCACCAACTTTTTTTAAAATAAGGAAATTATTTACCTTTTGCACATAGCCAGTGACTCTACACACACCAACACCGTGTAATGCAATTTAATGGTTGCCGCCCGCAGTAAGCACTCAGCATGTGACCACACGACCAATCACAAGCTGAGCAGTGCCATCACAACCAGCGTGGACACACAAGCAGCCCGCATGCACCATTTTAATGATTTTGCCGCCGACTTGCTATGCCTGACAGGGCAATTCAATTCTGGAAAAATCTGTCGAAAAAAGGTGCCAGAAAGCCGTTTCAGTGCATTCTATGACAAAAAAAGCCATCCACCCTGCCATCTACCACCATTGCTCCTGGCAAGTGGACAAGGAAATAAAATTGCACAGTGGCTGAATCGCCAGATGATAGGATTCATGCTTCTGCCAACCCTATTTTAAAAATGAAGCCATTTAAGTGGTGCCTCCAGTTGTTTCTTTTGTCCTTGGGATGGGTTTATGCTGTGCTGCACAAGTGCTAGTTACAAAATGTATCCTCCAATATTATATTATCCATTGATTTCAGTTATATGCATAAATCATCCAAAATGCTGTGTTTGCAATCCTGAATGCAGATACAAGCAGCTGCATTTCACAATTGTTTGTGAAAAACAATTCACAAATTAACTAAAATCAGGATCATATTTTCTTGAAAACGAACATGTTTATGCTTTAATCAATGAGAAGAAAGTGTGCACTTCTGAACAATACACACAAGGATGCACATTTTCCACATTTGAGGTGTGTATTTTCCCTGTTCAAAAAACCCAACTAATAAATTGAAAACAAAAACAGGAATCTTTAAACAAGATTGAAACTACATTACAGAGAACTTTGGCGAGTCTGAAAATCACTGGCTCTTCCATCCCTACTTGCTTTATTTATTTTGGGAATAATAACATAACATGCTTTCATTATTAGCACTAGTAGTAGCTGGAAAGCACATAGCTGAAATTCACACACACAGGCTTGAGTTCATAATATAAATCAGAGAGCTAATTGTATAGATGATAAATCATAGCACCTCCCAATACATGCATTTCTAATTTCTCTAGCTACTGAGCCAGAACTGTTGGCTGGGGATGTTGGGAATTGTATTCTAACACATATGATGGACACAAAGTTGGGCAAGGCTGCCCTAGAAATATGTGCAGAGGAGCCTTCTTTGCAAGTATGGTTCCTTGCTGTACTGGAGTTAATGGTTAACCCATGTAACTGCTGATCATGTCTGTGATTTCTGTGTTCAGTGTTCTGCCAAAAGCTTGGTGTGATCAGTGTTGTCCCATTTTGGGCTGTTATTGCAGCAGTATGTCCCAAATTCCTCTGATGATTGTCTTCCAATGAGTTTCATGCATTCATCTGATGAGATCATGGCACCATGTTGTACTGTTCTCTTCCTTGACTGGCCAAAGTCTGGAACACTGATTTGGGTAATTTTTCTGAATTATTCACCCCTTGACTACAAACCCCCAAAACTAGCATTTCCTCTAAATATATTCAAACATTCAATTTCCTGATGTCTCTCATGGAGGGCTCCTGGAGGAAGGCCTCTGCTGCCGATCTCAAGGGGCGGGAGGGCAAATATGGACGCAGGCGTTGCTTTAGGTATCCAGGTCCCAAGCCGTTAAGGGCTTTATAGGTGATTACCAACACCTTGAATTGAACCCGGACTTCGATGGGAAGCCAGTGAAGCTGGTAGAGGACTGGGGTTATATGAGAATAATGCCCAGTCCCCGTCAGCAACCTGGCTGCTCTATTTTGCACCATCTGAAGTATCCGGATTGTCTTCAAGGGCAGCCCCATGTAGAGCGCGTTACAGAAATCCAACCAGGAAGTAACCAGTGCATGTGTCACTGTTGCTAGGCAGTCGTCCTCCAGGTAGGGATGCAGCTGATGGATTAGCTGAAGCTGATGGAAAGTGCTCCTCGCCACCGCCGTCACGAGCTTCCAAAGACAGCTCCGGGTCGAGGAGCACTCCCAAGCTGTGGACCCTGTCCTTTAGAGGGAGTGCTACCCCATTCAGGACAAGGTCCAGGTCCCCCACCCCAGAGTCCGAACCACCCACCAGCAAGACCTCCGTCTTGTCTGGATTGAGCTTCAGTTTATTGGTCCTCATCCAGCCCATTACCTCGGCCAGGCACTGGTTCAGTACAGCCACTGCCTCACCTGGATTGGTTGAAAAAAAGAGGTAGAGCTGGGTATCATCAGTGTACTGATGATTCCGCAGCCCACCACTCCAGATGACCTCTCCCAGTGGTATGCACTAATAAATATTTTAAGGGTGTTTACCATGGTTGTTCTTTAAATCTGAAAATGAACCTAGGAAATTGTTGCTGAAAGGGAATAACCACTGGTGATCTAATACTTGGGAAGTGAAAGGGTGAATGTTCACCATGCCCCTACAGTAGGAAATTTCTGCCTACAAGAACTCCTATTATTAGCTAGTTAGAATACTCTGAAAAGCAGTTTGTTAGGCATTTCTTCAGTGGCATATCACACCTCACTGCAGGTTTTATTACCTTCAGTGTAATAAACCTCAGCTCACATGAAGGCATACAATGAAAAAGGTGTTTCTGATTGGGAAATTACAGGTGTACCACAAATACTGGAAAGGCAACATTGTTGAGTAATGCAGGGCACACCTGAAGGTATTAGTTCCACTAACAGCCAAAACCCACTGCATCCTTGCTTACGCATATGCACAGTTAATAGCAACAGGATAGCTGGTAGGGTACAGTGGCAATTTGCCAGACACCTCATTTGGCAGTATTAGGGGTAGGGACTGAAGCGCATGACACAATAAGCCTTGTTCCTTTGCTATTTAATATATTTGCTATGGCAAGGAAGTGTTGGTAGGCATGATGGGAAAACATGATAAAACTATGACTGGAAGGTGGCAGTGCCTGAACCCCAACTAAAATTGCATGAACAAAGCAGGACAATTACACCATAAGAGCTTCTCTGGAAGCACCTGAGGTCTGCTTAGTGCCTGGATGGGCAGGTACCTTGGGAACCACATATAACCTGCAGAATATGAATCAATTCACCACAAACACAGGCCTCATACAGGTTGACAACCATCCTTACTCAGAGCAAAATAGGCTGCTGGTTGCAAATTGGAAGTCTCTGAAATTGTGTTGCTGAACACAATTGAACAAGCCGTTTGAAATGGCTACCATCATATTGATTTCTTTCCACTGACTCAATGAATGATTGATGTTTAGTCAAAAAGTGTAGTTATGTTTCCATGTTTGTCAGGATATCACATTCTATTATTTTACTGAAAAGCATTTTAGAACATGCATTGAAAAGTTTGTAATACACAGAAAAGAAACAACACAGAATAACAACTAGTAGAAGGGTGTAAAGCTAGTAGACGTCACACCCTTCTACTAGCTCTATCAACATGATGACCAAAGTCCTACTAAAAACTATCCCACCAGTTTACACAATGAAAATGAATGGCCACAAGGATTTGGACAACTGACTATGGTTTGTTGGCTTCTCATAAAAATGAAAGTATTTGCCAGATTAAAATACTAACGGTACGAACTCTAAATAACATCTAAATATTGGTAACTATCAATGCGATTTTCATATTTTACTGAAATACACATTTGGTTGGATCCAGGCTCTGCCTTCCCCATACCAAAGGGACCTTTCACAAGATATGAATTCTATTTGTGGAAGATACCACCACCCAATGATTGGGATTTTCTCCACTGTCACATACACCTGTGTTCATCCTATTAGTACTCATGGGATTAGCCAGGTAAATATGGCCTAGTAGTTCATAACTTTGTTCAGCTTGCTGTGCAATGGGACAGCACTTCAGGAGGAAGAGTGCAAGCCTCTCCATGCATTGCAGCTGCGAGAGGAAGGGAAAGGATTTGGCTGCTTGCAAGCCAATGCCTCTTCTCCCAGGAATGTGAACTCTGCCTGCCACGTGGTGCTGCCATGCTTTTGGGGACTTTGGAGACCTCCTGAGGGCTTCCTTTAGAGACACGTTCATTGGAAGTCTCAAAATATCTTGTTGAATACTATTTCCAGCTGTATCTTGATAGACCGGTTATTTCCCAGCATGAACCAAGAACATTTCATTAGTCATCATCAATACTGAAAGAACAGAACAGCCAGAAATAATTAGTTTCCCTGTTTTCAGTTCATATCAAGTTTTTGTAATTTCAGTGAAGCCTGAGCTACTAAACTGACTGGCTTGTGCAAAGTGCATTATCAAGAGGAAAATATCTTTCTCTCTACCATCTTTCTAGTTTCATTTCTTTACTACCCAGTAGCCAAAG